AAAAAGACTCAAGGTCCAAATCCTGACCCCTTTGTCAGCATACATAAAACACCATGGTAATTGATCATTTCAAAAATCAAATGGCGGGCTTCCCTGGTGGCGCAGTGGTTGAGAGTCTGCCTGTCGATACAGGGGACATGGGTTCGTGCCCCGGTCTGGAAAGATCCCACATGCTGCGGAGCGGCTGGCCCCGTGAGCCATGGCCGCTGAGCCCAGGCGTCCAGAGCCTGTGCTCCGCAACGGGAGAGGCCACAACAGTGAGAGGCCCGCGTACTGCCAAAAAAAAAAAAAAAAAAAATCAAATGGCATATAGTGGCATTTGTACCCCAACTGAAGAAATTGCTTATCAGCAAACAGAACAAAATTTTGGATTTGAAGAAACCTTAGAAATTACCTAGTCAAACCTCTTTGTGGCCGTGCAGGCCCAGCGGCCACGGCTCACAGGCCCAGCCACTCCGCGGCATGTGGGATCCTCCCGGACCGGGGCACAAACCCACGTCCCCTGTATCGGCAGGCGGACTCTCAACCACTGCGCCACCAGGGAAGCCCTACAGTATATGTTTTAAGAGCTTTACAAATATTAACTAATTTAATTTTCAAAACCACCCCAGATGCAGGTTCCATTATCATTGACACTTCAGGGATATGGAAACTGAGGCCCAGAAAATTTAAGACATGTACCCAGGGCCACAAGCTAGGAAGTGGAGAGCCAGGACTTAATCCCTGACAATCTTGACTGAGTCTCTGGTTTTTTGGGGGGTTTTTTTTGTTTTATTTGCGGTATGCAGGCCTCTCACTGTTGTGGCCTCTCCCGTTGCGGAGCACAGGCTCCGGACACGCAGGCTCAGCGGCCATGGCTCACGGGCCCAGCCGCTCCGCGGCATGTGGGATCTTCCCGGACCGGGGCACGAACCCACGTCCCCTGCATCAGCAGGCGGACTCTCAACCACTGCGCCACCAGGGAAGCCCTGAGTTTCTGTTTTTAATCACAACACTAGTACACCACATACACATGTTTCATAATACAAAACACAAAAAGTAAATGACATTTTCCCAGCTCATAGCCATGTTCAGTAGAAGATAATTTTTTTAAGTTTTATGGAGGTTAAAAATGATTGAGAGATACTTTTAATTAAAATCTTATCACTCACTGAACTTTTCAACAAATCTGCTAATAGAATAATAACACTGGAGGTCAGATTCTTTTTCCTATATGGTGCTAGAGCTAAGAAGAAGAGAGGGATTACAGAATAATAGGAACAAAAAAGGCAAAATAAGAGGACTAAGTTATTCACAAACTACACAATCAAGCTCTTGAATAACTGGCAGCTGCCAATATTCATGTTAAGATATACTATCTTAGATCAATTCCCTTGAATGAAAAAGGAATGAAAGCAAATTCAAACATCCTGTTTTAAATGTGAGACTTTTCAATATTTCTGAGAACAGATGCAAAAGGAAAAAATAGGATATAGGAAGTACTGATACTGTGGCACCATTTAAGAGCGAGAAAAGTATTTATTGCTCAAACCACATATTTATGCTATAAAAGAATACATAAATGTATAGTGAGAACAAGGATTGTTCTATTTAGATCTTTAAAACTGCCATGTGAGCTATCTGGGTCACCTTCCTTTTGTCTGGGCTGCACAGTTTTATCATAGACTCTTCCAAGTCCTAAAAAGTTCAAAGTCCAAGGTATAAAAATCTACAGCTCCCAATCGGCTTCCCATTATTTTATGTGAACTCTCCTGAGTTTACACACTACTAGTGCTCCATCCTCCATAAGTAAGATCCCAGGCACCTGCTCCACGGGGCCTCACCTTGGTTAGCAGTGTAACAGTTGTTGCTGCGTTTACTGTCTGCGCGGCTCGATGCGAACACATTACAGGCACCTAAGTCAGCCTGATTTAGATCAGCATACAGAGTCTCTATCTATGCAGCTTTCTTGGTGCAATTTTTAACTTAGCTTCATGGAAATCTGAGCTCATGACTTGATGATTATTGTAAAGGACCAGTGGGAGAGGGAAGAAAAAGAATACAACTTAACGCATTCAGTTATGTCTCCTGTCCTCCTTGGGTGGCTTAGTTTACCTAGGTAAGGGATGTTTAAGGCAGATGGTGAACTGAATGATGAGAACTGTCCACACAGAAAGAAGATCCAAGCTGAACTCTGATGGAAAGGGAAGGGCTAAGGCAACGGGATGCCTCCTCACCTTCACCCTAAAAGCATGTTTTTTTCATCATTATTGCAGACCTTCCTACAGAACATCTTACACCACAGAATAATGTAATGTTCACTGTGTACACATAGAGTCAGAAGACCACATTCTAAAGTCCTGATGGACTCATCATAATCGAATAGGAAGCAGAACACCAGCAGGAAAGGAGATACCGAAGCCCCTGAGGAAAGTTGGGGGTCGATCCTAATGCTTCCCTCTGTCGCTCGAAAATGCAAAGTACCAAGAAAGAGGCAAGACTGATGACCTTGGAGAGGCAAATTCATGGGTTCTGACCAGATTTAAGGAATTTCTCTCTTTAGCTCCACGACAATTATATCTAGAAATCATTTCAATATATATTGCTAAGAACTGATTGATTGAAGAGAAGGTTCTGTTCACCACTTACTTAACAGACTCGGGACAAACACCAAAATTGCTCAACTGAGTAAAACAAGTTGATTTTCTTAGTCAAATTTATTACACATAAGCAGCATTTGGTTTTCCTCTCTGGTCAGTGATGGATTCTTTCATAGAACAGGCCTGACTCTCTAGAAATAGGCCAGAAAGACTTTTTAACCCCAGGAGGGATCTTCTGATATACCAAACCATAAAGACCTCTGGTCTAAACATTTCCAAAAGAAATCTAAGCCTTAATTTCCCTAGAGTGTTTTTCCAAAGGTCTCTAAACACACAAAGCCTTCTGTTTGAAATTTATCCTCCTTCCTAACAAGCACAAGGACATATCTTCATATTTAATAACTCTATTATAATCTTTGAAAGTAGCAATCATTTATTCTCTTGGGGATGTGTTGCTTTTCAACCCTCTTGAGTATCCTTATGTCAAAAGCAGTTAGTTTTCCTTCTCCAAAAGTTCTATGGCAGAAATCTCCCACTTAGCATTAACCATCAATTAGCAAAGCATGGATCATATCTATACGTGAATGTCCATGAATGTACGAGGGTGTACAGTGTGTGTACACCTATGGGTACACAGACATTTAGGCAAACACACATAGTTACACAGCTTATAGAAAATGAATAGTTTAAATAATTAACATATAGTTATCCTTATAATATGTAAGTAGATGTAAATTTACATACGTGCTTTAATATATACGTACACATTAGATTTTGTAAAATTTACCTTCACTTTAAGAGTTCTAATAGTGTTAATAAATATACTATGACTCCTTTCTGTGTTTGAAAACACTTAAAAGAATATATTTCCCTCCCTAGTAAATGCCTTGGATTATGATCTGATCATCTTTTTTATTGAAAAAGCTCGGGTCCCTACCTCTACATTCAGATTTAAGCATTTGGAAAAGGAACAAATTGTGTCAGAAAAATCAGCTATTAATTTAATGTGCAGTTAAGCCTGGCTTCCCTTTACAAAATACTCTTAAGAATCTGTATTTCACTTAAAATGCTCAAAATTCCAGAAGGTCCACGTAGGAACTTTAAATTTTGCAAAGTGTCTCCTGCACAGGCCAGTCTAGTCCTCACGTGCTCAATATCTTATCAAGTGAGAACAGGACTTCACAGAATACAATACACAGTAGCAGGTTTAGAATGACATACATACATGTACAACAACAGTCTGAAAGGATACACAGTAATATGTTAACAGCAATCATCTCTGGGTGGATTTTAGGTAACTTTTTCTACTTATGTGCTTCTTCCATTTATCCCTATAAGAACATCCCTCATACTGTTTGTGTAACACCCCTGCCGAGTGAAAAAAAATCTGTTCTTATAGTGATTTCACAAACGTCAAAATATGCAATGAATCCATTTATAAGATGTGTATACCAAGGAGCAGATCTATCAAAATCAATTGTGCATCAGATAAAAAACAGATAGTGTACATTGGGGGCTCAGCCAGTGAAAAGTATCTTGGCCATCAAGAGCTGCCTGAAGACCCAGTGGGAGCCGGGAAGGTGGAATGGGGCAACCCTCCCACAGAAGACAACATAGTCAGTCTGTGCATGATGGAAGTAACTGACCTGGGCTGGGTGTGGACCCACTTAGGAGCACACACTCCATTATCCACGTCAAGGCAACAAAAGGAGTGATGTGACATTCTGTGTGAAACCTCCCACTCCTGTGCGGGGCCTTGCTATGGGACACCAAAAGGTCTTTTGTACTTCCTTGCAAATCTAAATGATGCTGACACTTAACTACCCTCCTAGAAACCAGAGCAGAAGTTAATGGACTTGCCCAAAAAGGCTCCAAAGGACTCGAGTCTAAAATGCCCGGACTTGAGTGTATCGCAGCATGGCTCCTGTTCCCCTCTCCCTGTATATACACAGCACGTGAAACACAGAGGTTACGAGCAAAAATCTAGGGTACCCGGAGTAGACTGTCTACCTCTGGACCAGATTCTTATAAAAAGGCCTCGCATCACAGTACCAAAACCTCTCTCATACTACGGGGAGGTGCAGTGCTAACAGTGTACAATAACACTTTGTTCTTATTCAGAATAAAATATCTGTCCCCAGGCGAGATGATCTTATTACAGGCTGACTGTCTGAACACACTGAATAGAATCACTTATGACAGGTAAAACCCCGCACACCCCACGAAGACATTTTCAACAGCACAGAGAGGTGGGACACATGTGGGTGGCTTCCCCAGCCCCCCAAAGGAAGCGCTGTACTCAGCTTTTAGTGACTGTGTATTCTCGGACTGCAGCTGGGTGTCTGAGAAAAGCCTCTCCACACCTATCCACCAGACCTGTTCCGAGAGCTTAGCTTCGATCTGGGCAAACCCCACACTTACAGCCATATATGCATTGGCATTGAGAAAGACTGCGGAGGATGTGGCTCTCCAGGTGTGGCTTTATTTTTCACTTCACCGGGTCAGCTATTTAGGCCTAGTCTTCTCCATTGGCTTGAAGCTTTGTTCACACCATCTTGGGTAACACATCACATTATTCTTCCTTATAAAAACAAATAAACTCAAATGAGCATTCAGAGACAGTTCACCCCTCCGAACACCTCTGCCTTCCCCTCTGATTTATGGGACACCCTTCCGATCCCACCCATGAGAAAGCCTCCCCTACTCTCTTTCAACTAAGGATGGGCCAGGTGCCTTTCTTCCTTCCTCAAGTTTCCCACCTGCCTTGCCTCTGCAGACGTGCACAGCCTTGAGGATCTCAGCCTGCTGGCCGCCACTGAGTCACTGGGAGCAGAGCACTGCAGTACCTAGCACTACCCGCCATCAACTACTGCCACGGACTCAAATCACTGCACTTGGTACTTGCCACCCCACCCAAAAGCTTGGCCATCCTGGGAGGCTGGACCAGGAAGGGAAAAAACATGTTTTTATACTTTTATGGCTCCCCTCTGAACCACTGCATCTGAAATGTACACAGTTCTGGAGAACAAGGTGCTGGATACATTCATTCCTAGCCAACTCTGGTCAGAGCAGCCGGTGTCACACATCACCGGGTTATTCTGCAATAAGTCCAATCCACTTAAGTTTAAAACCAAGGGTCGAAAAGTTGCAATTCAATGAGGCATCACATGTTTCATAACTGAGTGTGGAGAGAAGGGGTAGGAGAAATAATCAGACCTCCCGAAGAACCAAGCCGGGGAAGCAGTTGACTCAACTCCTGTACTTGCCGTTTGCATCCTCCCATCCCACTTGCCAACGTGGACCTTCTCTATCTCAGCCACCGCCGTTTCCGACTACAGTCCCTTGCAGTAAACTGACAGGTTGGTAATTTACGAGCACGCTGGGCAGCACCAGAGAGACTTTGCAGAAACAGAGTTGGAGTGAGAGCTCACACGCAGACAGGCAGGAAAATGGGATACCTCATCAGAACAGAGGGTTTCTATCTTTCAGGGCTAGCACATCATTTGATACATACGTCTGCACTGACGTATAGCATAGGGGTTTTTTTTTCTGTTATAATCTGTTTGTTTGGTGGTTTAGCCAGAGAATCTTATATAACACATTCCTGTTTCAAATGTAGCAACATGTATGGCATTGCACTCATTGAAAATTCAGGCTCCGCACAGCAGGTCCCATTCCCATCCCGAATCATTTTACCTTGCAAGGTTTCTATATAATTGATGAAAAACATCAAGAACCACCACTAGCAATAGTAAAAGAAAGATTCAGTCATCAGCTTTACCCTGGATTCAAAAGCTAGCATTCAGATGGTATGATTTTAGGGATTTCTCAAAACCACCTTCATCCTGATTTTAATACATTATATGAGCCTGACCTGTGGAGGGAAGGGAGTCCAGTTTTCTAAGCCAAAACACAAGTGAGCCTACTCCAGGCTTCCAGGGTAGAGTACAGGGACATACTTCCTGCCTCTGCGCTGGGGTGTTATATGACCACAACCTTTGCATCTGATTTCCTTAACAAAGAAGCAGGAGATCTGCACTGCTTGTTTGGCCAGAAAGCACATAATACAGCTACAGCTGAGGAACTTCCTTCACCCTAGCTCAATACAATGTGTATTATATAATGAATGAGCCTTTTCTGTGAACCCTGCTATTGGAAAACATAGGCACTTTCTGCATAGTTTAAGCCGGTCTGCAAGGAGCAGTTATCCCTTGTCAGATCAAACGCGGACCAAGTATTGTATAAATCCAGGCAGACTACACCCTTAGATCCCTCAGCTATCACCCTAATTAATTTGATTTTGCTTGACAAGACATTATATAATAAATAATTATTTCAGTTAACTCTAAACTATACAGAGAACATTTACACAGCAGCCAGCAAGCACCCGAATGATGTTGGCTTTCAGCTCCATGTTCCCTGCGTTGCCTAAGAAATAAGGTGGGGGGGGGGGGGTTGTTAATGGGAGGAAGAAGAGAAGGGGAGAGGAAATCAGCTATCTGTGAAAATACTTACAGCCTCCGAGTCTTCAATTCCATGCAGGTACAAATTGTCATACATGGAGGTCTGATAATCCAGAGCACCTCTATCAAGGCGAAAACAAAACTGCTACAGAAGCCACAGCTAGAGGTAAAGACAGAAAAGGCCTGTTTGGAAGAATTGCGCCTGCCTTATCAATTGCTGTGAATTTACCAGGCAAGATGCTATTCATTCACATCGCACAGGGTGAGGTTATCCCCAGAGGCGGTCCAGAGCTGGCATTTTATCTGCCTTCCCAAACAGAGCATAAAAAAGCAGAACCCTTCCTCAACCACAGACTGGTGACTGAGCTAGGAAAGCAGTCTCTGATTGGCTCAGCTCCCCTGCTTCAGTCAGCTGAAGAGTGTTCCCTCGGTGAGTGGAGGGCCGCTCGGAGCACCCTACCAAGCAGACAGCTGCTTCCTGTTTCGTCTGGATCATATAGTTCTGCAGCAAACACTTATCAACATCTAAAAGGCTGCTTGGTATGTTGGGAAAGGCGGGCGATTGAATACTCTAAACACAACTGCTCATCTTCTTAATGAAACGCACAATTGGAGGGGGATGGGGAGCAAGAGAAATTTTTTTTCAGAGAATATTGTGTAAAGACAGGTGAACAGATACTCATCTCTATCCAACACCTGTACTTAACAGATGCAACTGAAGTCAAACAGGCAATAAGTCATTTAAATTTTTTTTAAAAACCAAGATAAAAGAAAAACAATAAACAGATGGTAAGATTTCTTGTGGGAATTTCTACTGTAAAAGAATTTCTACTGTGGGGCTTCCCTGGTGGCGCAGTGGTTGGGAGTCCGCCTGCCGATACAGGGACACGGGTTCGTGCCCCGGTCCAGGAGGATCCCACATGCCGCGGAGCGGCTGGGCCCGTGAGCCATGGCCGCTGAGCCTGCGCGTCCGGAGCCTGTGCTCCGCAACGGGAGAGGCCGCAACAGTGAGAGGGCCGCGTACCGCAAAAAAAAAAAAAAAAAGGAATTTCTACTGTGAAAGTTTTCGATATTCTCACAGAAATCTCTCTGCCTCACTGACAAGAAGGTACCTCTGTGACCCAACTAGTGAAGTTTGAAAACGAAGCCAAAAACTCTCAAAAGCCTTTATGTAGATGCAAAATTGTCCATTATCTTTTTAGCTTGATTTTTTTTTAATCGCCTTTAAGCGACAGCCAACGTTTTAGCTTAAATCCCCTTTTCCCCAGCGCTTAGACCTTTAATATTCCTAAAGCAGCATTGATCTTTTTCCAAAAACCCAATCAGAAAAGTCCCACTGCCTTCCCAGTTCCCATGACACCACAGCTTGGTTTCACCTAGGACAGGTCCCACACTGGAGCATACCTAGACACTTGCAGCTTCCTGGTCAACCAATAAGGTACTGCAGCTTTGAAACAGAAGAGATTTATAGCTCACTGTAAAAGAAGCCAGCTAAATTTGGAAAAAAAAGAAGTTGGTGAGGAGCAACGAACATAATCTAGAGAAGCTGCATGACTCACAGGGGTAAAACAATGACCCAGAAACTCAGAGGCTGAGCCCAGCTTCCTCACTAATTGGTCGGATGACTCTGGACCAGTCACCACTTCTGTGGGCTTCAGTTTCCTCACCTGCCAAATTGAGGCAAGAAATAACCCAGAGAAAGGACTTTGCAAATCTAAAGCGCAACATAAACGCTTATCAATGACAACCCTGCTTCGTCAGCTGGAAGGCACTGGCTGCAGTTCATGGGAACTCAGCACAGGAGTAACTGTCTGGCCCTGGACCCAGGAAATGAGGCCCGTATCTCTGAAAAGCCAGTATCTCTGAAAAGCGTAACTCTTAAAGGAACAAATCTGAGTCACAAAGAACAACACAAGAGCTACAACTGCTGAGCCGAGCACAGTTCGCCCAGGTCTGCACTGACCCACTAAGGTCTTCCAATCACAGCTGCACACTTTGGGAACAGCATCAATCCTTTCAAATATAAAAGATGCCAAAGGGACTCACCTGTCCTTCAGAGCCTGAAAATGGTAGGGTTCATACAGGAGGTCACCTGTGCCACCAGGAGGATGGCAGAAGAGGATGGGTACAGTTGGCAGGATTTCATAGAAAGGGACCCAGTGCCAGCCCGACCTGTTGACGACTGTGTGTCCTGGAGCAAGTCATTTCCCAGGCTAACCTCAGCTCTCTCCTCCATCAAGCAAGAGGACTGGGCCAAAAGATTTCTAAGCTCAAATTCCTGTATCAGATTCTGTTATTTTAATTAACTCTCTAACTACAGCCATGTGATATTTTAGGCAGAATCAACAGAAAATCAAGGCAAGAGGGTCTTTTTTCTCCTTAGATTTTCCAGATCATTTCCTTATTTTACTGTTTCAACCGAGAGTATAGATATTTCCTGAATATCTTTAAATGGGAATCTAAATTTGGGGGGGGGGGGGGGAAAAAGCCGTTCACTTCCATAATTCACCAAGAAGATGAGAGAAACTGCCCCCTACTGGGAAAACTGTACATGGCTCAACTCCTCTCCTGCATTTCCCAACAGCCAATGTAAGGGTCTAAGGAAAGTCTTTAAAAAGCAGGGGCTCGTTTTGTGATATACAAATGTAGGCAGTAAGGAAGATAACTCAGGATCGGTGGTCAGGAGGGAGCACTGGATCAAGCAAAGTAGCTTGTGGTTACTCCCAGCAACCCTACACCCAAACCCCTCAAGGACTAAGAACAGACGAGACGTAAAGCAGGGGCAGCCTGGCTCTGCCTGCTTCCCAGGTTAGAAAAATGCTGAGCAAATTGTTAGAGGTGGGAGAACCCCAGAGGTCCCCTAATCCAGCCCTCATTTTAATACCCAGAAAGGTTAAACTGATGTATTCAAAGCCATAATTTTCTATACTTAAGTGTTCCTTCCCTGCTCCTTCTTGAGGGGGTTTTCAAGATAAGGAATGAGGAGCAGTGGGTGTATTCCCAGGAGGAATTTGGTAAAATGAAAGGGGGGGGGGTCACTTTGATGGGAAAACCCCTATTTTTCCCACTCTTTTCATTCTAAAAACTGTCTAAACACAAGCTATTTGGTCACCCACCCGCAAGTTGACAACTGAAAATCAATTAATAGATTGGGGAGTCTGCCCCTAGTGTTTGGATCTCCACAGAATAAGCATTGCACGTACAGGTCACCTAAAGGTCTCAATCCAATGCTCAGGCTGATCCCAGAGTTCCAGAGGCAGCCAGTGAGAGACTCAGTCTGGACTTCCCCAAAGGAACTCTGAGAAGTTCCCACAAAAGTGTACTCGAACTCCAAGAGGCTCTTGGAACTGACCATTCCTGTCCCAAGATTCTCTGAACTGAGAGCTGGCTGAGAAGTAGCGAGAGGTCCCTGGGAGCTTCCTGGGCCTGTTTCAGATCATCTCAAGTCCCTAGCTTTTGGTGAAAGGGCCTTGATATCCTATCAGGTCTACGTTCTGAGGACCAAATTTCAAGGGTGTCATATTTCACTGCAGCAAGAGGCGAACATCAAGTGAGGGATTGGCACCGTCTTGGTTTTGGTTTGAAGAGTTCTCCAGTTAAGTGATTGATTGAGAGGATGAAAGAGAAACCAACCCTCCCCTGGGTCTACTTCTATTTCCAGCTACAATGAGGATCAGTCTGAAAAGCTCCTGGGTCACCTTGCATCAGTGTTTCCCCATAACCTGTCCACCTCTCACCCCTGAGTAGCCTCCAAAACTACACAGCCCCCAAAGGCATCTTCCCATTTTGAGGGTGCCCTGCTGACTGTGTTTCCTTTCAAGTCATCTCTCACCATGATCAACAGTTCAAAGTCAAAAGACCTTATGAAAAGGCATTGTTTGTGTGATTCTGTTCTCTAAATTCCACGTGATTCTCCGTATAGAGGTTATTCTTGCAATTTGACAAATGTCTCAACTGAGCTCAGTTCAGTGGAGGGAATGGTGTGGTCCTCAACAAATCAGGGAAGCTCTCTTCTGCAGCTCAAGGCAACATTCAGCTAGTTTTTGTTGGCTTCAAACTTAGGGACATGGAGTTGCTTTTCCTTACCTGGGCTGGGCTTTGTGGTACAGCACACCCATGCATTTGACGGTGGAATACAAAGGACAAGCATTTCTCTTTTCCATTTGTTTGGAAAGGGAGGGGAAGAGGGAGAGAAAAGCCAAGAATCAGCTGATTAGCTCTGAGTTTTACATAGCTGTCATCAAGACAATTGGTACAGATTTGGAAACAAAAGGAAATTTTGCTAATTTCCCCCCCCCCCCCAGATTTCTCCAGAATTTAACTTTCTAAGCCAGTGAGGTCATGTGTTCTGCAGCAGGACTCTGAGAGGTCAGGGAAGAGACAAAAGAACAGTGTTTGGACTCTCATTGGCTCTATGGACTAGAACACGAGCCCAAGGTCTCTGCCTGACAATTTAACCTTGGGGATTATTTTGCTCTTTGTTTTTAAGTTTTTCTAAGTGGCTAAGTGTACTAGATGATTTTCTCCCTCTTCTGCAAGCACAGATACACTTATTTCCCTCCAGAAACATATATGGCATTTTGCACGTTAATATTCTAACCCCTGTTTCCCCCCTGACGTGCTTCAGACAGGTGGTACCGGCAGGGCAGACAAAAGAGTGAAAACAAAACAAAACAAAACTCTACAAACTGACTGCCCTTTTAGTAGTCCTCCGAGTTTGAATTTAGACCGTTGTAACCACCTAGGCAGGTGTATCCTTACGTCTCTCCGTGCCTCATCTGTAACGGAGGTAAAAAGAGTTCTGGACTTCATGAGTGAATGTATAAAAGGTACACAGAAAGTGCCTGGCACATCATAAGGCAGAGTGAAGAATCAGTCTTTTTTTAAAGGGAGTAGTGTGGAATCAGGGCCGCCTACATCGCCCAGCTCCGAGGGCCCCCATGCACTGCAATTCGTGTGAATGGTACTCCCAGGAGCGGCGTCACAGGGATTCTTCAGAGCAGGCTAGGGAAGAGCAGGGACTCTGGAGCCAGGCTGCCTGCATATCCCTGTGGTGCCTCTTCCCAGCTGGATGACACTCAGTGAGCTACTTTGCCTTTCTGTACCTCCATCTCCTCCTTTGTAAAATGAGGATTACCCCAAGATTATCGTGTAAGATGAAAAGCCTCGATATAAGAAAGTGCTCAGAACGATGTGTGGTACAAACTCGAGGCTGCACAAGCATCAGTTGCTTCTTCTCATCTCTGGGCTCTGGCCTGAAGACTTGGTGCCCTTTGCCTCTGCGGTGGGATTCCTCGTCCCTGCTGCCCCTGTTGCCAGCCTGGTCCTCTCAATCTCCACCTGGGTGCCTGGTCTCAGCCAGCAGAGCCGAGACCAGCATCCTGCCTCCCCCTGCCCTACTTACCTTCATGCCAACCTCCTCCCGGCTGCCTACCTGCTTCATCTGGCTAGGCTGACTGCTCCTTATGCTGAAGCTGGCAGGGACTCCCAGGCCTCCTTGGCCTGACGACACCTCAACCCTTCAGCCACCCCTCCGAGCTCCACATCCTTCCCGTGTGCCCCGGGATAGGCGCGCCACGCGCACCTGACCTTCCCGACGGCCTGGCCTCTCCCCAAACTAGAATTCTGACTTCCCTTGCCTCCACCAGCCACTCCCTGGCTGCCCCAGCCTGTCACAGCCCACTGCCAAGCAAGCACCCCTGCGAAAAACCTGTAACACATGCTACGACTGGTTCTCACCAAGGAGGCAAGAGGCCAGTGAGAAAGAGAAATAGAGACAGGGATAAAAAGGCAGAGACAAAAAACCCTACAGACACTCAAAGGAAGAATGAATCTGTGGACTCGTTTTTCCTCCTCTCTGCCACTCTTGATGGCTCCGGGAAAAAAATAATACTTCATAATTCATAAAAGAGTGAGTGTAGGTAAGGTAAAAACATTCCCATGGCCTATTCACTTGCCAGAAAATGACAGATCCCTCCCCGTGATTGACGTATTACTCAGAAATCTCTTGCTTTCTGAAATTTCTGTTAAAAAAAAATGCCAATCTCTCGGCAAAAACACTCCACGCAGCCACAATGTTCATTAACTTTACACAACTTTATTTTCCATGCTTCTTCCAAAAGGGGCTGAGGAGACTAGTCCAGCTGGTCTCCTCCCCGTCGCCTATACGTCATTTAGCTCATATGATCAATGCTAATTTAATCATTAGACTTTCAATTGCTGACCACTCTGCACTACTTTAGAGGCTGGGAACTCGAAGATGGGCAACTGCATCCTCCAGAGAGCCGCATGGAGATCCTTCAGACAGAAACCGAACCAAGGAGATGGCTACAATCAGAGCTCTCACATTTGGAGAAGCTCTGAAGAGAGCTGGAGAGGAATTTGATTCCTTTATCTTCAAAGCTTCAGCAGGAGAAGCAGGAAGGAGGAAGGAAGGGATCGATTTCACTCAGGGAACAGGGCAGAAATGAATCAGCCACCAACTTACTACATGGCCATGGGCAAACCATTTTCCAGTGATTCCTAATTTGCTATAAAGAGTAAACAGTTTCCTTTTTTTCAATGTAAAATTTATGAAAGGTTATTTTCTATTTTGTTACCACCTTGAGGTAGAAATTCAGGTTTTTCTCTCCCTGGGGGAGTTTTTTTCTTTGATTTGATAACATGTTTTTTGTTGTTGTTGTTTTTGTTTCTTTTTTACAGATCCATTCGGTCATCCAGTAAACATCCATGAATTCTTACTAAGTACCTAGTATCTCCTCCAAACAGAAATCAGATCATGTCAGCTCCTATCTGAAACCTTCTGAGGTTTCCCGTTGCTCTTACAGCGAAGACTCAAACCTTTAACACGGTCTAGCATGGTCTCAGCATTTCTCTCCTCACAGCCCTCACTTTGCACCTCTGACTCCTTCCCTCTCTCCTCTAGAGCCAGCCTCCCCTTCTCGGACACCCCCATCACACCCGCTCCCACCACTGGGCTCCATCTAGTTGAGCCCTTTGCCTAAAACCCCACCCCTCCCACCACCACGCCCCCATGAACACGCAGTAGTGAAGCTGATGAATTAACATTTGTCTCCAGAATGTGAGTTCCATGGAAAAAGGAATCCGGTAGCTTCTCGCCACATATGCCCGCTGCCGAGCACAGTGCCTTGCACACACACAGCTTTAAATAAATATGCGAATAACTCACAATGGCCTTGAACTCTTGGCCACTTCTGCACTAGGGCTGCCAAAACAGTGCAGTGACTAACAACAACAACAAAAAGCTCACAAAACGAAATGTGGATTTTTTAGAGCCAAGAAAACCCATAATACGAACATCCCTAGAGGGTCCTCAACAAATTGTCTTCATGCCCTGACTGGGTGAGAGTTGTTCAGATTCAGATTCTTACAAATTAAATAATCTAGGTGTGACATAGAGGTGTTGTTTTAACAATGCCTTTATTTAAAAAAAAAACAATTTATATAATGTATTGATGGAATTTTTTTGGGTGGGGTGATGGAGAGAAGACCCCATGGTCTTTCATACCTTCATACCTCTGCACACAATGTTCCCTCTGTCTGGGAACATCTCACCCTCAACTTTTTCTAAGTAGTGAATTCATTTTCTTGAAGGCCCAAGGTAAATGTCACTGAGCCTTTCCCCAGTTCCCTCAGACAATCACACACTCATTCTATACTCCCATAGCCCTCTATGCTCCTAGACTTCTACTAATGGGCCTACCACATAATAGTGTATAATTCATCCAGCAGACCTGTTTTTTCTACTACAAGATGAACAACTCAAGCAAGAACCATGTCTTACTCAGCTTTGTACCCTAAATGCTTCATTCCACAGAAGAGCCTCAATAAATACTGGATGCAGAAAGTGAATGACAAACATGAAAAGAAAACCCACATTTTGAGCCCTGATGACACTGCCTCCATCATAATCCATGCAGTCTAGTCTATAGATGTTTGAGATCTTAGAGGGAATCCACAGAGAAGGGAATGAGCCAGGAATCTGTGAGGTCAATTTTAGGGCTGCTATAGATTTAGAAAACAAACCACAAGATGGAAAGGAGTGTAGGAACTCAGGTGTGAGCTGGACTTGTGTCAACGGCAGAGGCTTTTCTTGAGTGGAATCTATGGGCAGAAGGGATACTGGTGAATGATGAGTGGATGGTAGCATTGGGGTCCCAGGGTGTTTCCCAAAACATTGTTGCCGTAGAAAATATTTCTGGATATTTATTTCTGGATAAATATTCCATATTTCCCTATGGAAAAGAGTGCCAGACTCTGTACCCCTCAAAGGCAGGAACTATGTCTTATTCATCTTAACATACCCCTCTCTAACCCAGTGCCTATCACAATAACTGGAAAGTAGAAGTTCAATAACTACATTGGGAAAAGGCGAATAAGCTAGTATGATATAGGTGACCGCCACAACAGAACATAGTCCTGAGAGGACCTTGTGTTTCAAGTTCTATCATATCTCATGCTGCCTTAGGCACCAGGCATCCTAGACTCTCAACAGGGAAATAGGGAAACGTGACTAACTGCAAAATACGGAGTTTAGAGCAGCAATCCTCATTCTAGGTCCCACCTGCAGGTAGACCTAAAGCTTTACAAAAGGCTGCTAGACTTGAGAAGGATTGTCTCAGGCAATGGACTGGTCTTGAGCTTCAGGTTGATAGTTTTCAGGTTCTGCAACCCAGTAAGCAGGAAGGAAGGAAGGGCGGGCGGTTTTGGTGCACACTGCCAAGCTTTGACTTCTTTATTATTCTATGTGGCCGAGATGACTAACAGCCCTAGATTCCATTCTCCATCTCTTCCTTTTAGCAATAAACCCTATTCCACCCCCAATTTTAGCAAGGCATATGACTCTCCAACTACAAACTACATTTCACAGCCTCCCTTGCAGTGAGATGTGACCCAGGTCTTGCCCACAGAGTGTGAGTGAAAGTAATGCATCCAATTTACACCTTACATCCTTGAAAGGATACTGATTGCCCACACACTCTCTTCCCCATTCCTTTGGATGTGCACTGATGAGCCAATTTCCACCAGAAAGATGGACAATGAAGAGTTATTAGGGGTAAAGAAAGTTGAGTCAGTAAATGACCTGTGAAGAGGGCTACTCTGCTGTCCTGGACCGCTCTCCTACACTGCTGGGTGAAAGAGAAAGAAACATCTTTACCTGGGGATCTCTTTGTTAAAGCAGCTTCTATTAACTAATGCCTGCTGCAAAAGTAACTAAGATGGAGGTCATTAGAACAAGAAGAAGGCAATCAGAAAAAAACGTCCATAAGGTAGGCACTGGACTCAGGAAAGGGCCTCTCACTAGTCTGTGGCATATCTTCCAATTCTTTTTTCACAAAATGCTAATAAAACCAAGATGGTGGTCGGTTACAGCAAATCCTCACCCCCACCCCCTCCATCCCCATTAAAAACAGACACTGTTACGTAATGTTTAGCCACAGTAAGTCTGTTTATTTTCTAAAACCAAAATTAGGAAAAACCCAAAATGTTGGTAAGCTAAAAACACATATAAATTGCCAATCTTATACTGCTTTTTCAAAGCTCAAATGAGTTCAGAGAAAATCTTCAACTCAATCGGGTTTTTAAATTGAAGTAGACCACTACAAAGAGAAAAATATTCACCACTTTTTAGCAAAGTCCATAAGGATTTCCTCATGAAGATTTTCAATATAATTTCTCCTAGTTCCTAACCTGGTCATTTCCTTTGCAGTACTGGATGGAAAATAAGTTAGAGCACTAAGTCCAAATCCTTTCCCCGAGAGACACAAATGGAAACAAGCTGAGTTACTTGATCTAAATTCCAATTCTCAGAAGTGATTCCTGCATTAAATATTCAAGGAAAATAACAATCATCTCCGTAGAAAATAGTATGAATTTGGGGACAAATAATAAAAAAATAGTATACATTTGTATTGATAGAAAATAGACGAAAATGTGGAAAAATTATCGATAATCCATTATATCTGTAGGCATGTTTCATAAATCCAAAAGCATAAACAAACTAAGCATATAGACTGGTCACACACACACACACACACACAGACACACACACACACGGTTTTTCAAAGTTGTTTGGCAATGCGTTTTTCTTAATTACAGGAAGTGATTTCTCAAATGTTTAAGATAGATTGAAAATTAAAAATAACAATATCCAAATAAATATTTAGGTGTCATGTACCTTACGGCACCCCAACTCACTGTATTTTTGAACCTTGTGTGAGAGGGTTCAGAAATGACCCTCTTGTCTCGTATACCTTATAAATCTATTTTCTTTTAAATGGGAAAGGCAATAATATCACAATTTTCAAAAACAGTAGTTTAAAACAAATTATTTCTCATAGCCCCTCTAAGTTACTCTTTCAACCTTCAAATTAAATAAATACAAAACACTACAAGATAATAAATGAGTAACTTGTTAATCTTCAAATAATGTCAAATCTTCATGTTCCAGAGGTTTCTTGGGCTCTTTAACCATTTAAACCTATGGATCACATGAACATGGAACAGCCTTTGTAACATAATTTGGATATGTTTACATGCCATGAAAGAGATACT